TTAATGGAAGCCTTTAGGCAGTATACCCCTATGGATCCAGAGGCCCCCGAAAATCAGGCTGCCGTTGTAATGTCCTTCGTTAACCAGGCAGCCCCTGATATTAAAAAGAAACTCCAGAAGTTAGAAGATCTGGAGGGCAAACAGATACAGGACCTACTCCGTATCGCCCAGCGCGTCTTTAATAACCGAGACGCCCCAGAGGATAAACAACTTAAAGCCACTGAGAAAATGACTAAGGTCCTGGCCGCCATTGTTCAGAAAGACCAAGAGGGCCCCCCAGCCACTCGACCTCCCAGGCGACCATTGGACAGAGATCAATGTTCCTATTGCAAGGAAAAGGGCCACTGGGCTCGGGAGTGCCCCAAGAAAAGGCAGCCGCGCCCCAACCAGGGGCAATGGCAACCGAAGGCCACCCCAGTCCTGTTTACACATGATACAAAGTAGGGGGGACGGGGTTCAGACCCCCTCCCCAAACCCAGGGTAACCCTACGAGTGGAGGGGAAACCAGTCCAATTCCTGGTGGATACGGGGGCACAGCATTCGGTCTTGGTTAAGCCCCACGGGCACATTTCTAACAAATCCTCCTGGGTCCAGGGAGCTACAGGAGTCAAACGTTACCTTTGGACCACTCAGAGAACTGTGGACTTGGGCACAGGAAGGGTAACCCATACCTTTCTGGTCATTCCCGATAGCCCTTGCCCCTTACTGGGGAGACACTTACTCACTAAAATGGGAGCACAAATTCATTTTCAGCCAGAGGGGCCAATCGTAACAGACCCTCACGATCAACCCATATCTGTGCTCACCCTGAACTTGGAAGATGAGTACCGACTTCACCAGGAACCACCCTCCCAAAATCAAGATATAGAGTCATGGCTTCAGCAGTTCCCCGAAGCATGGGCAGAAACAGGTGGGATGGGACTAGCCAAACATCGCCCAGCCCTATTCATAGAGATCAAACCAGGAGCAGATCCTGTACGTGTCCGACAGTATCCCATGCCCCTAGAGGCCAAAACTGGTATCACTCCTCATATTCGCCGGCTTCTTGACCTGGGGATACTGCATCCCTGCCAGTCGGCCTGGAATACACCCCTGCTGCCAGTCTGCAAACCTAACAGTAAAGACTACCGCCCAGTGCAGGACCTGAGGGAAGTTAACAGATGGGTCATAGACATCCATCCTACTGTGCCCAATCCATATACTCTTTTGAGCGCCCTTAGTCCAGAAAAACAATGGTATACTGTGCTGGACCTCAAAGATGCCTTTTTTAGTTTATTTACCCTTGGCGCCCAAAAGTCAAGAACTCTTTGCCTTCGAATGGTCGGATCCCGAGAGAGGCATAAACGGACAACTCACCTGGACCAGACTTCCCCAAGGATTCAAAAATTTGCCCACCTTGTTTGATGAGGCCCTACACGAGGATCTCAGTGAGTACTGGAGACAAAACCCCAATGTAACCCTCCTGCAATATGTTGATGATCTCTTAATAGCTGCTGAAACCGCTGAAGCCTGCCTGCAGGGAACCAGAAACCTCCTACAGACTCTCAGCACCCTGGGATACCGGGCCTCTGCCAAGAAAGCGCAGATCTGCAGGCCTGAGGTAACTTACCTGGGGTACCTATTGAAAGGGGGGCAACGATGGCTCACAGATGCACGGAAGGAAACCGTCCTCCGCATCCCCAGACCCACCATGCCTCGACAGGTGAGGGAATTTTTGGGGTCAGCGGGGTTCTGCCGTTTATGGATACCCAAATTTGCTGAAATGGCCAAACCGCTATACTTAGCCACCAAAGAGCAGACACCCTTTAAATGAACAGAGGAGGCTGAGCAATCATTTCAGCAGATCAAAACTGCCTTGCTATCCGCACCCGCCCTGGGTCTCCCTGATGTCTCCAAACCCTTCCACCTCTGTGGATGAAAGCAAAGGCATAGCTAAGGCCGTGTTGACCCAGCCCCTCGGTCCTTGGCCCAGGCCTGTCACTTACCTATCAAAGAAATTGGACCCAGTGGCTGCCGGCTGGCCTCCTTGCCTCCGGATGATCGCCGCCACGGCCCTAATGGTAAAGGATGCTGACAAACTAACTATGGGACAGGAGTTGCATGTCACCACCCCCCACGCCATCGACGGGGTTCTCAAACAGCCTCCCGACCGATGGATGAGCAATGCTCGACTGGTCCACTACCAGGGTCTACTGTTAAATCCCCTCAGAATCAGCTACACTCCGCCGCGGGCATTAAACCCTGCCTCCCTATTACCTGACCCAGATTTAGACTCCCCACTCCATGACTGTGCAGAGGTACTGGCCCAGATCCATGGGGTTCGGGAAGACCTACGTGACCAGCCCCTACCGGATGCACAAGTCAGATGGTTCACTGACGGCAGCAGCTTTGTCCAGCAAGGTCAGAGGTATGCGGGGGCAGCGGTAACATCAGAGACTGAGGTGATATGGGCAGAGACTCTCCCCCCGGGGACCTCAGCCCAAAAAGCTGAATTAATTGCCCTGACCCAAGCTCTCAAGATGAGCAAAGGCCAAAAAGCCACCATATATACAGACAGCCGGTATGCTTTCGCTACCGCACATATACATGGGGCAATATACCGAGAGCGGGGACTACTCACAGCAGAGGGCAAAGACATCAAGAACAAAGAGGAAATCCTGGCCTTGCTAGCGGCCATAGGGGAACCCAAAAAGCTAGCCATTGTACACTGCCCGGGGCATCAAAAACCCATGAATCCAGTCGCCTGAGGCAACAATTTGGCAGACCAGACGGCTCGAAAGGCGGCACACACTCCAATACCATTACTTCCCCTGCAACTGCCGGATCCAGGGCCCCGGGAACTACCGCCCCAACCCGACTACTCGGAGGATGACATCAGATGGATGAGCAAGCTCCCTCTAACCCAGGTTAGAGACGGATGGTGGTGGGACGCTAAGAACAATATCCTCCTTCCTGAGAAACTAGGAACCCTGGTCCTTGAACGGATCCACCGTAGCACCCACTTGGGCGCCCGACGGCTACAGGATCTCATCAGGCAGACTGGACTTAAAATTAAAAATGTCTCCGAGAAGACTGAACGACTGGTTGCTGACTGTGCAGTCTGCCAACTCCATAATGCCAGCACCCACCCGTCAACCACTGGCATCCGGGAAAGAGGAAACCAGCCCGGAGCCTACTGGGAAGTGGACTTCACGGAGGTAAAGCCTGGCAAATATGGGTATAAATATTTACTGGTGTTTATAGATACCTTTTCAGGTTGGACTGAGGCATTCCCAACCAAGAAAGAGACTGCACAAATAGTAGCTAAGAAACTACTAGAAGAGATCCTGCCCAGGTATGGCTTTCCAGTTATGATAGGGTCCGACAACGGGCCAGCCTTCGTTTCTTAGGTAAGTCAAGATTTGGCTTCCATACTTGGGACTAATTGGAAATTACATTGTGCATACCGCCCCAGAGTTCAGGACAGGTAGAAAGAATGAATAGAACTCTAAAAGAGACCTTGACTAAATTGACCATGGAGACTGGCGCTAACTGGGTAGTCCTACTCCCCTACGCTCTGTTTAGGGTGCGAAATTCCCCCTATAAGCTAGGATTTACTCCCTATGAAATAATGCGTGGTAGGCCTCCTCCTATCATCCCTAACCTAAAAACTAACCTTATCCAATTGGACCCAGAAAATAATCTCCTGTCTTCCCTCCAAGCCTTACAGCGGACACACGAGACAATCTGGCCCAAACTAAAAGAGCTATATGCAACAGGACCCCCGCCTACTCCACACCAGCTCCGGCCAGGTGACTGGGTCCTTGTCAAACGCCATCAACAAGAGACCCTAGAACCCAGGTGGAAAGGACCTTACAAGATCATCCTGACAACGCCGACGGCCATCAAGGTGGACAGCATAGCTGCCTGGATCCATTACACCCACGTCAAGCTGGTGGACCCATTTTCTGACCTCATCAAGTCCGCTAAAGCTGACGTCACCTGGACAGTGGACCGGAATAAGGACAATCCCTTCAAACTGACCTTGCGCCGTACCCTCCCCCATGATGACCAAGGTACTGCTGATAGCCCTAATAATAGTCCTAACCCTCAACCCTCGGGCCACGAGGGGAGGACTCGGCCCTTCCCCCGATAAGAATACTTTAATACAACAACTATATGGTGCACCCTGCGAGTGCAGGGGAGGTACTATGGAGACTCCTGAGGTTCCCCGAGGGTATACTCATATGCAGGACTGCGGGGGCATAACTGCGTATCTTGTTCAGGAATATAAGGGCACCGGGGCCTCTCAAAGCTGGCAATGCTACCATAAGCCTAAGCCACTCCCCCC